ATTGGTTTCGTGGGAGCCTAGGCAGTTTCGTGGATGCTCACCTTACTAGACCTGGATGGAGGTGGGTGGTCCTTGGACTTCCCACAGGGCAGGGAACCCTGATTGCTCTTTAGGCTGACGAGGGAGGGGGACTTGGTTGGGGGAGGGGGAGGGAAAGGGGAGGCGGCGGTGGGGAAGAGACAGAAATCTTTAAGAAATAAATAAATTAAAAAAATCAAAAAAAGAAATATTTTGAGCAGAATTTTTTGAGCAGATATTAACCTTAAATCTTCGTGCTTGATGTTTGACCATAGTGCACAAACCTAGTGATCTAGGTTTGTACATTTGTTTTATTTTTTCTTATGCATACACGGTTTTTTCTCCAATCATTTCACTTTTCTAATCTTAGTATGTATGTAGTATGTTTGTATATATGTATGTATAAACTGAATATTTCTTCATTGATTCTATCATTAATAGTTTGCTCATAGATCTTTGTGGCGGTACAGTCATAATCATCATTTGAGTTTTGATTATTTCCAACATTTTATTTTTGACATTTAATTTGAATTTAAATAAGCTCAGTTGTATTTTTAAAATATATTTTTAAAACAAATAATGTGTTGAAACTCAGCTAGATTTATAGTTTACATAATGACACATGATTTTTCAATGACCATCATGTTAAAATAACTTTATTATTTAATATCTCTCATATTTTTTCTGTACTAATGCCTACTTAGTATTATTAATGTCATGTCATTAAAGAAAAAGGGTAGCTTTTGTAATTTTTGGCTAGTCTGGCCTTGGTTCTTATTTATTTGTAAATTGAGCTCAGGTATGTTGTAGCTTCAACATACCTGAGCTCATATGTTAAAATATACTATTGCTTTCTTGTGCCTGCATATTTGCATGATGATTGTATTAAATAGCGGCTGATTTCTCCGAAGAAAAAATATATCTAAAGCCTTTAAAAATGTTTCTGGTTAAGCAAACATATCAACAGATCGAAGACATATCAAATAAGATATGTCAGTTTGGAAAATCATCCATTAAATTACACAGAAATTTTATTTAATTTGATTTTGTTTTAATTATGCATAACCCAAGCAGCACAGACACTGAGAGAAACAATTAATAAATGGGACCTCTTGAAACTGAAAAGCTTCTGTAAAACAAAGGACACGGTCAACAGGAAAAAAAGACAGCCTACAAAATGGGAAATAATCTTCACTAAGCCCACATCAGATGAGGTATGATCTCCAAAATATACAAAAAACTCAAATTTGTCATCAAAAGAACAAATAAATCCAGTAAAAAAATGGAGTAGAGCCCTAAAAAGAGAACTTTCAACAGAGGAATCTAAAATGGCTGAAAGACACTTAAGGAAATGTTCAACATCCTTAGTCATCAGAGAAATGCAAATTGAAACAAGTCTGAGACTCCATCTTACACCTGTAAGAATAGCCAAGATCAAAAATACTGATGACAGCTTATGCTGGAGAGGTTGTGGGATAAGGGAACACTTTTTTTATTGTTGGTGGGAATGCAAGCTGGTACAGCCCCTTTGGATGTCGGTGCGGTGATTTCTCAGAAAATTAGGAAACAACCTTCCTCTAGACCCATTAATACCACTTTTGGGTATATAACCAAAGGGTGCTCAATCGTGCCACAGGGACATGTGCTCAATATGTTCTTAGCAGCATTGTTTGTCATAGCCAGAACCTGGAGCTTTAGCCACTTCAATGCCCATTAAGTACTGATGAAGCTTTGGTTAAGCTTTCCATGAGGGACTAATAAAAGTTAACAGGGAGGATGTTAATGTTTCTGTGGATAAAACCAAAGCAAAATCAAACCAAACTCAAAGAAAAAATATTTCTGTTGGACAAAACCAAACCAAGGAAAACAAACAAAACAACGGCAAAAAACATGACTCGATAAATACTCATCTGATGTCATTCCATAAGTCTTTCCTATCAAAATTTAGCAGTATGAACAGTTTTCAATTACTTTTCATCTCCATTGAATATTAGTTTAGTTTTCTAAAAGTAATCCTTAGTAATTTGTTGTCTTAATTGCCATGTTCAAATATCAACCATACCAAATTTAAGAAGTACACCAGCAGTGACTTGCATCTTTGAATGACTCCTATTGTATGCTTAGTTTTTATTGAAAGAGTAAGGGTAATACTTTATGTTTAGTATGCTTACAAAATAGTTGGTTTGGGAACAGATTTTTTTTTTCTCTTTTGATTTTAAATATGCCAGCTTTTAGTAAGTTGTTATTGAGTTAAATAAAAGTACATTTTCAAAAGAAAATAATATTTGTAACATTCATTGAGACCCTTGCAACACTAATCATAGAAGCAACTCTTGATGGATTTCATTATTATTCAGTTATCAAAAGTGAGTTTAACAGGGTTATAACTCTCTTTTGAAAACACAAAATATAAAAAGCCCTAAAATATAAATATATGGTTGCTTTTTTAAGAGAAAATCAAATCCTATATTTTTTTTCTCATTTTCATTTCTTTATTAAATTAATCTTTAAATAATGAATGTTCTTTGTAAATATCAAAGGGAGAAAAGTTTGAAAATAAGAAATTTACTTGATTTAGCATTTAGTCTTTGTCCGTGTATTTGTATTTTCAAAGAGCATTTGCTCAAGTCTCAAATTTTATAACTGTTTCCTAGTCTTACTTTTTTAAAACAAAATGGTGTTTTTAATATTCTTTTATTTTTTAAATTACAATGTAAATACATGCCATATCTTTTCCCACATACCTTTCCTCTCTTCAAGCCCTTCCATTTAACCTTCCTTGATCTCTTTCTAATCATGTTCTTTCTTATTATTAATTGTTGTTACATGCATATGTGTATGTGCATATATTTGTATATTCCTAATTGCAACCTGTTATTTCTATATAACGTTACTTGTAAGTATTTCTCAGGGTTTCTGCTCTCAAATTTTTAGCTGCTTATAGTTCTTTGTGCACATTTCAGGTCTTATATCTCTCACCTTGTCTACTTTAGCTTGTATCTCGTTGTAAAGCAAAGGTTGTATATATTTTAATATTGTATAATTGGATAAAGAATACACATATTTTACTGATGTCACAACTATAAGTTACACTGGAAGCCATGGAATATACTTCAGTCAGCGTATTAGGAAATTGATAATTCTCATTCAGTGGGAAATAATGATGTTTCAAATCTGTTACATAAAACGGGACTCCTATAAAAAGGCAGCAAAGGAAGCTTGTTATAAAACTCTGAATTTAAGGCACTCAGACTTCTCGCACGCTCGCGTCGCCTCCTGCGGGCCCCGTCCGCCGGTGCTGCCATCTCCGGGGAAGCAGGCACCCTCCCGCGGTGTGCCCCGAACGTCGCCCGAATGGCAAGCCAAAATTCCTTCCATATAGAATATGACACCTTCGGTGAACTGAAGGTCCCAACTGATAAGTATTACGGTGCCCAGACTGTGAGATCTACGATGAACTTTAAGATTGGAGGTGCAACAGAACGGATGCCGATCCCAGTCATTAAAGCTTTTGGCATCCTGAAAGGAGCTGCTGCTGAAGTGAACCAGGATTACGGTCTTGATCCAAAGATTGCTAGTGCAATAATGAAGGCAGCAGATGAGGTAGCTGAAGGTAAACTGAATGACCACTTTCCTCTGGTGGTGTGGCAGACTGGATCAGGAACCCAGACAAACATGAATGTAAATGAAGTCATTAGCAACAGAGCAATTGAAATGTTAGGAGGTGAACTTGGCAGCAAGAAGCCTGTGCACCCCAACGATCATGTTAATAAGAGCCAGAGCTCGAATGACACCTTTCCCACAGCAATGCACATTGCCGCTGCCGTGGAAGTTCACAAGGTCCTGCTACCAGGACTGCAGAAGCTGCATGATGCGCTCAGTGCTAAATCCAAAGAGTTTGCCCAGGTCATCAAAATCGGGCGGACTCACACGCAGGACGCTGTCCCCCTCACTCTTGGGCAGGAATTCAGTGGTTATGTTCAACAAGTCCAGTATGCTATAGCAAGAATAAAAGCCGCCATGCCAAGAATCTATGAACTCGCTGCTGGAGGCACTGCTGTCGGGACGGGT